CTTTCCCTCCTTTGTTTACATGGAACCCATTCCAAGAAGGCAACCATTTGTTTTTCAGTTCATGTCTCTGCATCTGGCCTGTGGTGCTGGTGCTTTGGAGGGTCGGTTTGCAGTCTGCCAAGTCCCTGGCACATGCAGGCCAGCCATGGAACACCCAGGTTGGACATTTCCTTGGGAGATGGACCCTCCTTCTCCCTGGCTTTCCATCTCTCTCTGAACTTCAGTGTGAGGGTTAGAATGGATACTGTGGAGCATTCCAGATAGGTCCTGGAGGTCACAGAGAGAGCCAAGGAAACGTGACCTCTTGGAGTCTATCCTTTTACTTTCCTTCCCCACATTGAGCTGATCCCCAGATTTTTTCCTGTTTTGCATCTGAAATATCTTAAACTCCTCACTGGGCCCCACTGTCATACACCTATTGGTGCCGGATCTCTTTCTGCGCCTTCCACTCTTCTTCCTCCCAGATCCAGGGCACTTTGTGCCCAGAGGGACCTGCCACCCTGCTCCCTCATACATGTTTCACTTTCCCCATCAAAATAGGATCCCATTCACAGAATTTTCTATCAGGGCTTTCCCTTCAGAATGCAGTTCCATCCTGCCTTTCAGATTCTTCCCTATGCGCTGCTTTAGCCATCCTGTCCCTGGACACACACACCATGCAAGATAGCCAGGCTTCTTTGCTTTGGCTCCTGTTCCTGCCTAGAAGGCCCTGCTAGGTCATCTCTGCTGGTAACATCCTGTAAGGCCAGGCTGAACAGTTGCCCAGGAAGGTCCCTTTTCCTGCCTGCACCTCTATTCCTATAACCTTGAGTCTTGAATGTACTCCTTTCATATGGCAGTCCAGTCAGGGCATTGCCTTCTGCATCCTCTGTGAGAGCAAAAGGGTGAGGATGAGGTTTTATTCATCTGTGTGTCCCCAGGGCCAAGCCTGAGCCTCGCCACTGATGAGATAAGTGAATGAACAATAATAAATAAATGAAATCCTTGATAAAATATTTTATAGGTCAACAGCTTTGGCTAAAAGATTGGGGATATTTTGGGGAGAGGGAAGGAAAGTAGGGGGCACTCTCATTTCTGGGCTTCTCTTTGGCCCCCAGTCTGAAGCCAGGTGGGTGATCATTCCTTTCTCCCTCCTCCTTCCCTCACCCCGGCAGGACTGAAGAACTGGGTCTGGGCTGAGGACATGGTCTTCGTCCCCATGGCTGTCCCCTGGAGCCCTGAGCACCAGATGCAGAGGCTGCAGGTGACCCGGAAGCTGCTAGAGACAGAGGAGCAGGCCACCTTCCCCCTGGGAAGTGCCACCCCCCGCTACCTGTACCTGGCCAGCAACCACAGCAACAAGTGGGGTCACCCTCGGGGCTACCGCATCCAGGTGCTCAGTTTTGCTGGAGAGCCTCTGCCCCAGAACAGCTCCATGGAGAGGGCCATCAGCTGGGGGAGGTGAGTGGCCGGGTGTCAGAGGGAAGCTGGGGGAGATGAGAGAGAAGGGAGCATTGGAGGGGCAATTGGAAATCAGTTCAAACTGTATGCAAAGTGAATAAGAAGAGCTCAAGAAGGATTTCCTGGTTATCAAAAGGCACATGCGGTGGGCACTGGCACGTCCTCCCTCGGAGGACTGAAACTCAGGGCCGAGAGCCCTTTCCCCTTTTGTATGGTGGACGGGTCATGCTGTGCTAT